AGATCTCTCAGTGTGAGGGAGAGGTCTCTCAGTGTGAGGGAGAGACCATCAGTGTGAGGGAGAGACCATCAGTGTGAGGGAGAGATCTCTCAGTGTGAGGGAGAGACCATCTGTTGTGAGAGAGAGACCATCAGTGTGAGGGAGAGATCTCTCAGTGTGAGGGAGAGACCATCAGTGTGAGGGAGAGATCTCTCAGTGTGAGGGAGAGACCATCAGTGTGAGGGAGAGACCATCAGTGTGAGGGAGATATCTCTCAGTGTGAGGGAGAGACCATCTGTTGTGAGAGAGAGACCATCAGTGTGAGGGAGAGATCTCTCAGTGTGAGGGAGAGATCTCTCAGTGTGAGGGAGAGATCTCTCAGTGTGAGGGAGAGACCATCTGTTGTGAGGGAGAGACCATCAGTGTGAGGGAGAGATCTCTCAGTGTGAGGGAGAGATCTCTCAGTGTGAGGGAGAGACCATCAGTGTGAGGGAGAGACCATCAGTGTGAGGGAGAGACCATCAGTGTGAGGGAGAGATCTCTCAGTGTGAGGGAGAGATCTGTCAGTGTGAGGGAGAGACCATCAGTGTGAGGGAGAGACCATCAGTGTGAGGGAGAGATCTCTCAGTGTGAGGGGGAGACCATCAGTGTGAGGGAGAGATCTCTCAGTGTGAGGGAGAGACCATCAGTGTGAGGGAGAGACCATCAGTGTGAGGGAGACATCTCTCAGTGTGAGGGAGAGACCATCTGTTGTGAGAGAGAGACCATCAGTGTGAGGGAGAGATCTCTCAGTGTGAGGGAGAGATCTCTCAGTGTGAGGGAGAGACCATCTGTTGTGAGGGAGAGACCATCAGTGTGAGGGAGAGATCTCTCAGTGTGAGGGAGAGATCTCTCAGTGTGAGGGAGAGACCATCTGTTGTGAGAGAGAGACCATCAGTGTGAGGGAGAGATCTCTAAGTGTGAGGGAGAGACCATCAGTGTGAGGGAGACACCATCAGTGTGAGGGAGAGACCTCTCAGTGTGAGGGAGAGACCATTGTTGTGGAGAGACCATCAGTGTGAGGGAGAGATCTCTCAGTGTGAGGGAGAGATCATCAGTGTGAGGGAGAGATCTCTCAGTGTGAGGGAGAGACCAGTGTGAGGAGAGAACCATCAGTGTGAGTGAGAGGACCATCAGTGTGAGGGAGATATCTATCAGTGTGAGGAGAGCCAATTGTTGTGAGAGAGAGGACCATCAGTGTGAGGGAGAGGATCTCTCAGTGTGAGGGAGAGCTATCGTTGTTTGAGGAGAGGACCATCGTGTGCTGGGAGAGATCTTTCAGTGTGAGGGAGAGTCTCGTCAGTTGTGAGGGAGAGGACAATCTATGTGAGAGAGAGACCATAGTGTGAGGGGAGATGTCTCTCAGTGTGAGGGAGAGATCTTCAGTGTGAGGGAAGAGACCGTCAGTGTGAAGGAGAGACCCATCAGTGTAGGGGTAGAGACATCAGTGTGAGGAGAGATCTTCAGTGTGAGGAGGACCCTCGTGTGAGGGGAAAAAGGGCCCTCAGGTGGGGAGAGACCATCAGTTTTTGGGGGAATCTTCGTGTGAGGGGGAGACCCCAGTGTGAGGGAGAGACTTCGTTGGGGGGAGACCCTCGGTGTGAGGGGGGGGACCATCAGTGTGAGGGGGAAAATTTCATTTTGAGGGGGGGATCTCTCAGGGTTTTAGGGGGAGAACCTCAGTGGAGGGAGAATTCTCAGGTGAGGGGGAACCTCAGTGTGGGGAGAGATCTTCATGTGGGGGGAGACCCCCAGTGTTTGGAGAGATTCTCAGTGTGAGGGGGGACCATCGTGTGAGGGGGAGAAAAATCAGTGTGGGGAGAGATCTCTCATTTGGGGAGAGACTTCTGTGAGGGGGGGTCTCTAGTGTGAGGGGGATCTCTCGGTTTAGGGGAGACCTAGTGTGAGGGAGAGCCATCAGTGTGAGGGGGAGATCTCTCAGTGTGGGGGGGGACCATCAGTGTGAGAGAGAGATCTCCTGTGTTTAGGGAGAGATTGTCAGTGTGAGGAAACCTCAGGGGGGGGGGAGAGACCATCATGTGAGGGGGGATCTTCTGGGAGGGGGGAGACCATCAGTTGGGGAGAGATCTTCAGTTGAGGGGAGACTCTCAGTGTGAGGGGGTGGACCTCAGTGGGGGAGAGACCATCATTGTGAGGGAGAACCCTCATGTGAGGGAGGATCTCTCGTGTGGGGGGAGACCAAGTGTGAGGGAGAGTCTTCAGTGTGAGGGAGAGGGCCCTCAGGTGGGGAGGTTCTCGTGTGAGGGAGAGACCATCAGTGTGAGGGAGAGATCTCTCAGTGTGAGGGAGAGACCATCTGTGTGAGGGAGAGATCTCTCAGTGTGAGGGAGAGACCATCAGTGTGAGGGAGAGATCTCTCAGTGTGAGGGAGAAATCTCTCAGTGTGAGGGAGAGACCATCAGTGTGAGGGAGAGATCATCAGTGTGAGGGAGAGATCACTAGTGGAGATAAAGTGTATTGCAGGCTGCCAAGAGGAAATACTTTAAGAAACACGAGAAGAGGACTTCGTTGGAGGAAGAGAGGAGGTGTAAGGATGAGTTACAGGTGAGTCAGTCCCTTCTTTATAGTGCTGGTTATGGGTGAGTTGCTGGGGAGTCAGTCCCTCTTTTCTAGTCGAGTCATAGCTCCAGGTCTCGCTCTTTGTGTGTGTGTATTTGTGTATGTAGCTGAAACTAGCAGACAGTGCTCTGTAGAATAGAGAGTGTATGTGTGGGTGTATGTGTGGGTGTATGTGTGGGTGTATGGTGATCTAATTAAGGCGCTTATGGAATTCAGCCCAAGATACCTGCCGTCCTGTTTCTGAAACCGAGTCTTCTTCTATCTCTACACCAGGGCAGTGTAAGCCGGTTGTAGTTGCATGTCTAGTGACCAGAAGGATCTGGTAGCAGACCCTTCACGCTGGTCAGCCCCAACAACGCACAAAAAATGTGCATTTAATGGTACTGTTAATTGGCATTTACCGTCTTGAAGCCAGTAGGAGACACCTGAGATCGGCTTTGTGGGAGTGAAGATGTCGCTTGTTGACATGAAATGTGATCTAATTCGCGTTGCAACGTCTTAACGGATGTTAGAGAACTTCACTCCACTAGGCCTAGCGTAGCATAAGTAGTCCCATAACTAGGCTGTTAATCGATCGGCAGAATTAAGCAGAGTCTGCACACCCTCCTCTCCACTCAGGTGTGTATTTCTACACACGTGTGTGGGTAAGCGAGTGCCTCTGTCTGCTGTCATAAGTAGTGCTGTAAAAGTAACTGTGAATATTAATCTAAACTAACTCTAGCTTAAATACTTACTAAAAGCAATATATTACTAGCCTAGAGAGGTTTCATTACTTAGTCTTATAAATTAAGAGTGGACAATTGAATGTTGCATTGTTGGATGTAGGTATATACGGGTCCAAGGCTCGTCTCTACTCCCCTTTTCCCCCCCTATTCCTTATCGGTTACGGGAAATCAATTGACTTCTCAGATTTCCCACACATGGCACGTGATAGCTATTTGCATCCTCAATAAGACATTATTTAACTTTCATTAACCATACATGTTGCATTATATACTGTGAATATTAGCACATTCTGGTAATGTATAAGTTCAGCGTAAAATTAAATTATATAGAAAATATCACTAATGACAACTGGGAGTGAGTGGAGTCTGTCAGAGGTGAACCAGGTCCACCACACACTATCAGTGTATTGGAGAGATCATCAGTGTGTTGGAGAGATAAGAGTGAAGGAGAGACCATCAGTGTACAGGAGAGATCATCAGAGTGAGAGAGCATCAGGGTGCTGGAGAGATCAGAGTGAGGGAGAGAACATTGGAGAGATCATCAGTGTGAGGGAGAGATCATCAGTGTGAGGGAGAGATCATCAGAGGAAGGGAGAGATCGTCAGAGTGAGGGAGAGATCATCAGTGTGAGAGAGATCATCAGTGTGAGGGAGAGATCATCAGTGTGAGGGATAGATCATCAGAGGAAGGGAGAGATCGTCAGAGTGAGGGAGAGATCATCAGAGTGTGAGAGAGATCATCAGTGTGAGGGAAAGATCATCAGTGTGAGGGAGAGATCATCAGAGGAAGGGAGAGATTATCAGAGTGAGGGAGAGACATTGAGGGTGTTGGGGAGATTATCACTGTGAAATCAGGGTGTCGGAAAGATCATCAGGTATGTAAAAGACTATTAGGGTGGCAGACTATCAGTATGAGAGTAAGAGACTGACTATCAGTATACTGGAAAGACCAACCAGTCTTCCTGAGATAATAACCCAAGACCAGATTATTTCTTCATTTGATGAATGAGGATGGAGAGAGAGAGAGAGAGAGAGAGAGAGAGAGAGAGGAGAGAGAGAGAGAGAGGAGAGAGAGAGAGAGAGAGAGAAGAGAGAGAGACAGAGAGAGAGACAGAGAGAGAGAGACAGAGAGAGAGAGAGAGAGAGAGAGAGAGAGAGAGAGGGAAACGAGACCTGAGCACACACACACACACACACACACACACACACACACACACACACACACACACACGCATGATAAAGCTCATGGAGCAGGGAAAAAGAGGACCTAGTAGCCACCAGAGGAAAGGTAGGGCCAGGAGCTGTGACTCAGTCCTTCAGTACCTCAACACCAGTCCTCCTTCATCCTAACTGTAGTGCTCCTGTCCTCTAATTGCAGTGCTCCTACGCTTTAACTGCGATCATGAGGCACAGCGTGGCACTGGAGACGCCGATACTGCTTTGATGAGTGGCACTTGATTATGGCACTAATCACAGTAAAGATATTGGCATTGGAAAGTATCACTCTCACTACTCACCATGACACAGACACTGGAAAGTGTCACTGTCACTACTCACCATGACAGACACTGGAAAGTGTCACTCTCACTACTCACCACAACACAGACACTGGAAAGTGTCACTGATCTCACTACTCATCATAACACAGACACTGGAAAGTGTCACTCTCACTACTCACCATAAGGACACAGACACTGGAAAGTGTCACCATCATGGCCTTCCTGGATGTCAACACAAAGACCAGTGTTGAGGCAAGGCTCTGCAACACAAGCGTTCATCTCCTCACAGTGGGTACCCATGTAGCCAGGACAACACTGGCACTCAAAGTGCTCCTGCAACACATAAATAAATTAATAAGTAAGGGGAAAATACCACAGGAATAATAGGAAATATATATCCTGAGAGCTCAGGTTTATTTTCTATTTTTTCACTGGTATTTCTTCGTATTTACAATAGGACATTTTATTGTAATTTCTTACATTAGTAAATGAGTTGTTTACTTGGCTGAAGAAACAGGTGAATTAATCTTAAGCAAGGTCAACTAATAACTATATTTCGGACCCACGTTTCTGTCCGAGTCAGACAGAACCGTCGTTATAAATTTCATTCTTCTATTTGCGGGTTATTTGTTTATTGTTCCAGTGGTGGTATTGCGCCTCTTAATGTAGCCAGCTGGCCCAGTTGTTTACACACTGGCCTGGAGTTTCACGACTCTCTTGCCATGGCTTCTAACTCCACCCATACCGTGGTTTGTTTCTGATTTTGCCTTTGACGCACGAGCAGTCTGAAGCAAGGACCGGCTTTCTGAGAGACCATATTGTACCGACACTAAATTTATAGGTAGAAATAGCAAAATAATCGTTTACCAAAGGACAGAATAGAATATTATTGTGTTTCATAGTGTTCAGCCACTCCAGCTGAGGTTCCAGTCCTCGCCTGTACGAAAGTGATTAAGACGGGTCGTTAAACTTCAAGTAATGTAACTTATCCCGAGTTACACTTCTGTAGTTTTTATTGTGATGTGCGATAACATCACCTACTGCCCACCACCCACTGCCCACCACCCACTGCCCTCAACCCACTGCCCTCCACCCACTGCCCTCCATCCACTGCCCTCCATCCACTGCCCACCACCCACTACCCTCCACCCACTGCCCACCACCCACTACCCTCCACCCACTGCCCACCACCCACTACCTACCACCCACTGTCCACCACCCACTGTCCACTGTCCACCACCCACTGTCCACTGTCCACCACCCACTGTCCACTGTCCACCACCCACTGTTCAAGACCCACTTTCCAAATCTCAGTATTCTATACACTAGAATAATTAATCCAATCGTGATTATGATATACAGTCCTTTACTTATTGGCAGTGTAATACAGGCGGTGTGAGAGATGTGTCATACAGGCGGTGTGAGAGATGTGTCATACAGGCGGTGTGAGAGATGTGTCATACAGGCGGTGTGAGAGATGTGTCATACAGGCGGTGTGAGAGATGTGTCATACAGGCGGAGAGTGAGAGGTGTGTCATACAGGCGGTGTGAGAGATGTGTCATACAGGCGGTGTGAGAGATGTGTCATACAGGCGGTGTGAGAGATGTGTCATACAGGCGGTGTGAGAGATGTGTCATACAGGCGGTGTGAGAGATGTGTCATACAGGCGGTGTGAGAGATGTGTCATACAGGCGGTGTGAGAGATGTGTCATACAAGCGGTTGTGAGAGATGTGTCATACAGGCGGTGTGAGAGATGTGTCATACAGGCGGTGTGAGAGATGTGTCATACAGGCGGTGTGAGAGATGTGTCATACAGGCGGTGTGAGAGATGTGTCATACAGGCGGTGTGAGAGATGTGTCATACAGGCGGTGTGAGAGATGTGTCATACAGGCGGTGTGAGAGATGTGTCATACAGGCGGTGTGAGAGATGTGTCATACAGGCGGTGTGAGATGTGTCATACAGGCGGTGTGAGAGATGTGTCATACAGGCGGTGTGAGAGATGTGTCATACAGGCGGTGTGAGAGATGTGTCATACAGGCGGTGTGAGAGATGTGTCATACAGGCGGTGTGAGAGATGTGTCATACAGGCGGTGTGAGAGATGTGTCATACAGGCGGTGTGAGAGATGTGTCATACAGGCGGTGTGAGAGATGTGTCATACAGGCGGTGTGAGAGATGTGTCATACAGGCGGTGTGAGAGATGTGTCATACAGGCGGTGTGAGAGATGTGTCATACAGCAGTGTGAGAGATGTGTCATACAGGCGGTGTGAGAGATGTGTCATACAGGCGGTTGTGAGAGAATGTGTCATACAGGCGGTGTGAGAGATGTGTCATACAGGCGGTGTGAGAGTTGTGTCATTACAGGCGGTTGTGAGAGATGTGTCATACAGGCAGTGTGAGAGATGTGTCATACAGGCGGTGTGAGAGATGTGTCATACAGGCGGTGTGAGAGATGTGTCATACAGGCAGTGTGAGAGATGTGTCATACAGGCGGTGTGAGAGATGTGTCATACAGGCAGTGTGAGAGATGTGTCATAAGGCGGTGTGAGAGATGTGTCATACAGGCAGTGTGAGAGATGTGTCATACAGGCGGTGTGAGAGATGTGTCATACAGGCGGTGTGAGAGATGTGTCATACAGGCGGTGTGAGAGATGTGTCATACAGGCGGTGTGAGAGATGTGTCATACAGGTGGTGTGAGAGATGTGTCATACAAGCGGTGTGGAGAGATGTGTCATACAGGCGGTGTGAGAGATGTGTCATGCAGGCGGTGTGAGAGATGTGTCATACAGGCGGTGTGAGAGATGTGTCATACAAGCGGTGTGAGAGATGTGTCATACAGGCGGTGTGAGAGATGTGTCATACAAGCGGTGTGAGAGCTGTGTCATACAAGCGGTGTGAGAGATGTGTCATACAGGCGGTGTGAGAGATGTGTCATACAGGCTGTGTGAGAGATGTGTCATACAGGCTGTGTGAGAAATGTGTCATACAGGCGGTGTGAGAGATGTGTCATACAGGCAGTGTGAGAGATGTGTCATACAGGCGGTGTGAGAGATGTGTCATACAGGCTGTGTGAGAGATGTGTCATACAAGCTGTGTGAGAGATGTGTCATACAGGCGGTGTGAGAGACGTGTCATACATGCGGTGTGAGAGATGTGTCATACAGGCGGTGTGAGAGATGTGTCATACAGGCAGTGTGAGAGATGTGTCATACAGGCGGTGTGAGAGATGTGTCATACAGGCTGTGTGAGAGATGTGTCATACAAGCTGCGTGAGAGATGTGTCATACAGGCGGTGTGAGAGATGTGTCATACAGGCGGTGTGAGAGATGTGTCATACAGGCGGTGTGAGAGATGTGTCATACAGGCTGTGTGAGAGATGTGTCATACAAGCGGTGTGAGAGATGTGTCATACAGGCTGTGTGAGAGATGTGTCATACAGGCGGTGTGAGAGATGTATCATACAGGCAGTGTGAGAGATGTGTCATACAGGCGGTGTGAGAGATGTGTCATACAAGCGGTGTGGAGATGTGTCATACAGGCGGTTGTGAGAGATGTGTCATACAGGCGGTGTGAGAGATGTGTCATAAGGCGGTGTGAGAGATGTGTCATACAGGCAGTGTGAGAGATGTGTCATACAGGCGGTGTGAGAGATGTGTCATACAGGCAGTGTGAGAGATGTGTCATACAGGCGGTGTGAGAGATGTGTCATACAGGCGGTGTGAGAGATGTGTCATACAGGCGGTGTGAGAGATGTGTCATACAGACGGTGTGAGAGATGTGTCATACAGGTGGTGTGAGAGATGTGTCATACAAGCGGTGTGAGAGATGTGTCATACAGGCGGTGTGAGAGATGTGTCATGCAGGCGGTGTGAGAGATGTGTCATACAGGCGGTGTGAGAGATGTGTCATACAAGCGGTGTGAGAGATGTGTCATACAGGCGGTGTGAGAGATGTGTCATACAAGCGGTGTGAGAGCTGTGTCATACAAGCGGTGTGAGAGATGTGTCATACAGGCGGTGTGAGAGATGTGTCATACAGGCTGTGTGAGAGATGTGTCATACAGGCTGTGTGAGAAATGTGTCATACAGGCGGTGTGTGAGAGATGTGTCATACAGGCAGTGTGAGAGATGTGTCATACAGGCGGTGTGAGAGATGTGTCATACAGGCTGTGTGAGAGATGTGTCATACAAGCTGTGTGAGAGATGTGTCATACAGGCGGTGTGGAGAGACGTGTCATACATGCGGTTGTGAGAGATGTGTCATACAGGCGGTGTGAGAGATGTGTCATACAGGCAGTGTGAGAGATGTGTCATACAGGCGGTGTGAGAGATTGTGTCATACAGGCTGTGTGAGAGATGTGTCATACAAGCTGCGTGAGAGATGTGTCATACAGGCGGTGTGAGAGATGTGTCATACAGGCGGTGTGAGAGATGTGTCATACAGGCGGTGTGAGAGATGTGTCATACAGGCTGTGTGAGAGATGTGTCATACAAGCGGTGTGAGAGATGTGTCATACAGGCTGTGTGAGAGATGTGTCATACAGGCGGTGTGAGAGATGTATCATACAGGCAGTGTGAGAGATGTGTCATACAGGCGGTGTGAGAGATGTGTCATACAAGCGGTGTGAGAGATGTGTCATACAGGCGGTGTGAGAGATGTGTCATACAGGCGGTGTGAGAGATGTGTCATAAGGCGGTGTGAGAGATGTGTCATACAGGCAGTGTGAGAGATGTGTCATACAGGCTGTGTGAGAGATGTGTCATACAGGCAGTGTGAGAGATGTGTCATACAGGCAGTGTTAGAGATTTTTTATACAGGCAGTGTGAGAGATGTGTCATACAGGCGGTGTGAGAGATGTGTCATTCAGGCGGTGTGAGAGATGTGTCATACAGGCGGTGTGAGAGATGTGTCATGCAGGCGGTGTGAGAGATGTGTCATAAGGCGGTGTGAGAGATGTGTCATTCAAGCAGTGTGGGAGATGTGTCATACAGGCAGTGTGAGAGATGTATCATACAGGCAGTATGGGAGATGTGCCATACAGGCAGTGTGAGAGATGTGTCAGTCAGAGTGAGAGATGTGTCATGCAGGCGGTGTGAGAGATGTGTCATACAGTGTGAGAGATGTGTCATACAGGCAGTGTGAGAGACATCATACAGGCGGTGTGAGATATGTGTCATACAGGCGGTGTGAGAGATGTGTCATACAGGCTGTGTGAGAGATGTGTCATGCAGGCGGTGTGAGAGATGTGTCATAAGGCGGTGTGAGAGATGTGTCATTCAGGCAGTGTGGGAGATGTGTCATACAGGCAGTGTGAGAGATGTATCATAC